GCTCTTTCCACACCACCATAATCTGAGTGCTCTGTGTCTATAGTGAGGGTTCAAGACCATCACTACCCAACAGAATCCCTTCAAAAACATTCCAGAGCCTGCCTGAGCTCCTTCTCAGCCCAATGAGATCAGAATCCTGGAGTGGGGCTTGGGCCTCAGGATCTCTTCCAGCTCCACTTGGGGAGTCCAGTGTGCAGCCAGGTTGGGTCCATCTCCCAGCTCCCCCAGCCTGGGCCCAGTCTGGCCAAGCTGCCCCCAAGACCCCATGGTGCCCTGGGGTCAGATGGGTGTTACTGTTCCTTTGTGGAGCAACTTCCCAGTGGAGCTGCCACCCTGGCCCAGTCCTGGAAGCTGAAGTCTCCAGGGCTCTTGAGAGGAGGTGTGAACAGGAAGACCGGGAGGCAGGCGGCTCTGACAGACAGAAAGCAAACAGCTCAAAGGGGTGGCAGGCTGCATTTTATTCATCGTTAATTTAAACACCCTTCAAGTCCTCTCTTGGAGTGCTGCTCAGAAAAATAGGTGTATTGTTTAAGAAACCCTGCAGGCTTGCCCCGCATGCTCTGACCCCCCTCCTGAGAGAACACGTAGCATAAAAATGATTTCTAAAGCAACGGGGAGCCGCCTTAGGGAAGAAGGGGAAAGGGAGGAGGCTGAAAGAAAGGGGCAAAGGGTCTCGGGCTGGGTTAGTGCAGAAACATCTTATCGCTTCTCTTCAATGCATGATGTGACTAGCGTGTGGGTGCAGCCAGTTGCGCTCTGGGGTGCCTAAAGGTGCCAGAGCTGCTCCAGGGGCAAGAGTCCAGGCCCCAAGTCCGTGCTGATGAGCCCACCTGGGGGCCAGGAATGGCTTCAGCAGGCCCTTCTTCCTCCCTCCGCAGCCCCTAGAGTGCGGAGCCACCGGAGAGGAACCCCTGCAGCAAATAAACAAAGCCCAACGCCTCTTCTGGACTCAGAAGTGCCCTAAGCTTTCTGGATGTGTTTTCCAGACAAGGTGCATGTGGAATTGTGCTTTTTGTTTTCAAGAATGTAAAAAGTTACAGTAAGACCGAACCGCATGGCTCGTAGCTCCTATGGTCTCTGCCTAGCTGGGCTGCTGTCTGCCTCAGTTTCCCCGAAGCTTCTCTTTTGGCTGTGAGGGCTCAGTCACCCCTCACCCCTGAGCCCACAGGAAGAGGGTCTCTGCTGGAAGGCCTGAGTGAGGGATGGAGGATCCTGGGTCAGTTTAGCAGCTGTTTTCCAGGGTCTGGTTTGGGTTTGGATGCTGGCTTCTGTGTAAAACACAAATACATGCAAATTGTACATAAAACTCCCACATGGAATTTTCCAGGCCCTAGTAGATCTCTAGGGTGTTAAAAATGGGAAATCTTTCTTCTTAAAGTGGCTGAGACTGGGATTTTTTCCTTGAGGAAAGGGCTAGCATCTCTTTGTAAGGCTGGTGTGTGTAAGTGCGTATATGTGTGTATGCACACACATATACATGATGCTATACAAATGCCCAGGGCTGTCTGGCATTTTCCACAAACTGAGAGCCTGAGACTGTCTAATCCTTTGACTCCTTCACCAGGCCTGGAGGCTCTGGCTTCACTCACAGGACATAAGGGCCTGACCACCTGGCTTTAGCAAGCTTGGATACCAAGGGTGGATTTTTTTTTTTTTTTAGAGACAAGGTCTCACTCTGTCACCCAGGCTGGAGTGCAGTGGTGTGATCATAGCTCACTGCAGCTTCAAACTCCTGGGCCCAAATGATCCTCCTGCTTCAGCCTCTTGAGTAGCTAGGACTATAGGCACAGGCCACTGTGCTCAGCTAATTTTTAAATTTTTTTGTAGAGATGGGGGTCTCGCTATGTTTTCCAGGCAGGTCTCGAATTTTTGGCCTCAAGTGATCCTCCTGCTTCAGCCTCCCAAAGTCCTGGGATTATAGGTGTGAGCCACCATACCTGGCCAAGGGTGGCTTCTTTATCTTTCTGCTCAGTTCTGAGAAGACCTGGCTGTTCCCCAAGACACTGGCTTCCCCAAGCCACGCCCCGATGGCAAGGGCTTCTTAGAGCCCATTCTACCTTTAAGGGAGCCCTGTAGCCCTGGCATGAGATGAGTGGGTGTGGGCCTAAGGAAGCAACTCCTGGAGCCTGAGGGAGTTGTGGATTGCAGTGAGCTATCAACTGTGGAGCAAACTGAAGCCCCCCCCCCAACAGTGGGAGAAGCCTGGAGTCTGGGGGAATGGAACTCCTTCTTAGGTCAGAAGAGCCTGTGCCAAAGAAAGGGGTCCCTAAATGCCATTGTTCCTGAAATGATGGGAGGACCCATCCCTGCCTCTCAAAACTTACCCTCAAGCAGGGTGTCAAACCCCATGTCCTGTAGGCATGGGTCTAATGTTCCATCAAGTCTCCTGACTTTGGTAGCCCCAGCTTTTCAGGGAAGCAGCTGCTGGCATCTGGGGCACTGAGCCCTTCAGCCCGAGGTGAAGGATGATGATGTGTTGTATCGTGACAGTGTGACTGAGATTGGGTCTGAGGATAGGGACCAGGGGAACACTGGCAAAAATACACGTGTGCCATTGGATCCTGAGCTACCATTGTACCCTGGAGGACTGGCATTTCTCTGGGAAGTTGTGGGGAGAGAATGGGAAGAGCCTTCCTTCCCTGCTCCCCCAAACCATGTTTATGGTTCCTTTAGGAGATTGCTCAAGCTGCCTCCAATTGCCTCCTTCCAAAGCCAAAGCATAGGAAAAGTGAAAACAGCTAAGGCTGCAGCATAAGCAACTTAGGATAGACCCTAGAAAGCACTGCTGACAGAAGACTGCCAAAGAATGTTTTGAGTTTTTCTTCTCTGGAAGCAGGTCCTGGTTCCTCCCTTGGAGACAGGATTCCATGCAGTCCCATGCACAGGTCAGGGGATCGCCTGGGCACCTCTTTAGGCCTATCTAATTCATGGAGTCTCGATGGCTGGGTCTCAGGTCTCCAGTGTTGTCCCTGTAGGTAAGCTGCTATTCTGCCTGCAGATTAAGTCCTCACCTTCTAGATGCCTCTATTTTAGGGATCTCTGCTTCCCTCTCTGGATGGCTCAGATCCCCAAGTTATTTCCTGTTGCCTAGGTGATACCTCTAATTGGATGCCTTTTAATCGTTCCTTCTTTTAAAGGGATAAGTGTGGCACTTTACTTCCAGGTCCTGTCAGAGGCCCCTGCCGTTGAGAACACATGCCCCTCTGAGTGTGCAGTCCCTTCAGTGTGACCACAGCCATTGCTCGGACGGGGGCTTGCAGGCCTGGCCTGACAGTCACAGTGAATCCTGGAGGTGTGGCTCACAGAGGGGACAGGCCTTCAGGATGTAGCAAGCCTGAGATCTCTCCTGGCCAGCCTGCCTCACTGGCTTCACCCCAGATTAGGGCCTGTGCTTAAAAACCAATCCCAACCCAAATTAGAAATTACCCAAAGCAGCCGCAGAGTCACTGAGATCCCAGCTAATGTTTTCCTTCCTGCCATGAATTGGAAGGGGAAAGAGGAGTTTGACATTCAAGCATGACTCTTCCTGCTGAGTGTGTGCGCGTGCGTGTGTGTGCATGTTGTGTGCATGTGTGTGTTCCAGGCGCATTTGCCAGGGAGAGATTTCACAGCACGGCTCGGCTGGCAGTGGAGAGGTGGTGCTTTTCTAAGACTTCCTGTCAGAAGCTGTGTATATTCGTGGGTCACACTGGGCCTGAATAAACTCTGGCATGTCATCTCTTTGGATGACAAAAACGGGCAGAAAAAGTGTTCCTTTACAGCTTTAGACCCACATCTTTTCAAAGAAGCCTGGGTATTTGGCACTCATCCAGGTCGGTGACCCCTATGCTGTAGAGGGCAAGTTTGGGCAAACCTGTCCCTCAGCCTGATAGTCACCCAGAGCAAATCTTTCATCCTAAAATCACTTCCAGCCACCAGTTCCACCAGCTCCCTCCCTCTTGCCTTCCTCTGCCTCCAATAGACTGCATGGAGAAAACAAATTCACTTAACAAACAATAGTTATTAATAGAATGGGATTCTGCCATTCCTGACCCCAAAACACTGTGGGCTCTGGAGCCAAATGCCCTGACATTGCGAGGTGGCTGCCTTGGGGTTCCTAGTGCTGCAGGCCCTGGTTCCCCAAGGACAGAGCTGGCAAAGTCCTGACTCAGAGGAGGAGGGGCTCTCTAAAAGGGGAAAATGTTGAACTGATCAAACGGTAGTTAAGAAAAAAGTAATCCACACTAATAAAGAAAAATCTTATCTGAGAAGACTCACATATTCCTGGTTAATAATGAAAAGCCTCGCTGTAGATGACGCTTGTGAAGGAAAGGAGGGTTGGGGGATTCAGGATGTGCTGGAGCTGGGACATCAGCAGCTGAAGCAGAGTGGGGTTCCTGCTGCCTCCGGCTCCTCTCTCTGCAGGCGCCCTGGGCTTTCTGGCGCTAGAAGTAGCTGCCCTGTGCGCTGTGCTAAATGGACTAACTCCAGGCTGAGAAAGGCCAGCTAAGCCCCTCACCACTGCAATTTCCAAATCTGGGGGAAATGCCACAGTCCACGAGTTGGTGCTATGTTTCGTCTCATTGCATAATACTACACCATTCTCTGTGTGTAGTGGCTGTTCTATATATATACATCGGGAGGCAACATATGGCTCTCCCCACCCCCACCTGTCAAAACTGTGACTATATCACTTCTGACGACCAGAAGGAAGCTGCTAGGCTGGGCCAGGATTCTAAATGCTGAGGAGGTAATTCAGAGCCACGAAAAGTTGCACCATATGCTTTGGGGTTGCCGGCTGCTTGTGTGCATGGGGACGGGGTTTTAGTGCCAGTCTGCAAAGCCCAGGGACCACACTCTTTCCGCTGCGGTATGCACCGGGTGGGGGTCTGGGGGTGCCACTTTTTCTCTCCCTGGAGGAGAATCTCCTGGGGGCCACGCTTCTCCTAGAGGGGGCTCACAAGGGAAAACAGGCTCCCCCAAAACCTGCCCTTGATAACATCAAGCCTGGCCAAATAGTATTTCTTTAAAAAACCTTTTTTTTTTTTTGGTTTCATTTTATTGGATAAAGATTAAGAAAGCGCCAGCGTCTGAGAGAGGTGAAGCAAACCACGCCTGGCGGCCCCGCAGCCCGGCGAGGGTCCCGGCGTGCGGGCGGGCGGTCTACCTGGAGGCGCTGGTCTCGGCCAGCCGGTTGTTCATGATGCCCAGCGCGCCCACGCCACCCGAGAAGCCGTTCTGGCGCGTGTTGACGCACACGCTGCGCGGGTAGCCGTTGGCCGTCTCGGACAGCTGCTTCTGCAGCAGCGCCAGCGACACCTTGTTGGAGGCGGTGAGGTCGCGCATGGAGATGAGCTCGCCTGACAGGCGGCGGCCCTCGGCGTCGCTGTCGCGGGCCGCAGGGTCTGCGCCGAGCGCGGCCAGGCGGCGGCGCAGCCGGGAGCCCGGGGTTATGGCGTTGCGCCGGGCCAGGGGCGCGCCGGGCGCCGGGCAGCAGCGCGCGCAGCAGCGGCAGCTCAGCTTGCGCAGCATCCAGTTGAGCACCTGCTTGATGAGGATGGAGATGACGTTGAAGAGCGAGTAGATGCAGCACACGCCGAGCAGGATGAAGAGGAAGTTGCCCAGGCTGTAGAGCCCCTGGTTCCGGTAGGCGGCGTGCTGGCTGCTCACCAGGTCCCCGAAGCCGATGGTGCTGAAGGTGACGAAGCAGAAGTAGAGCGAGTCCATGTAGTCCCAGCCCTCCGCGCTGGTGTACATGGCCGAGGCGCAGCACGACAGCAGCACGGCGAACAGGCCCAGGATGAGCAGCACGTGGTACACCGAGGGCTTCCAGCCCGCCAGGCTGTCGGCCTCCGACAGCGCCGAGCCGCGGCGGAAGGTGGCGGGCAGCAGGCCGCTGCGGCGCAGCTGGCGCTCCCGGCAGGCGCGCATGATGAAGGCCAGCAGCGAGATGATGCGCTCCAGGAAGAGGTTGAAGAACAGGATGGTCCCGGCGCAGCCGAACAGCCCGTAGGCGATGAGGAAGGCCTTCCCCCCTACCGTCGCGGGGGTGGTCATGCCGAAACCTGCGGAGACAGGGCAGCGTCAGCGGTCCTGGCTGGGCAGGTGGTCCCTAGCAGGCGGGGGGGGGGCGGCGGGGGGCAGCGTATGCAGGTGCTGGCATGGCTCTCATCCTGAGTGGCACCACTCCGGTGGAGGGAAACAGTTCTTAGACATTTCTCTCCCTTAGTGGCACCAGAAATAATTCCTGATCTCGGCAACCCCTGAGCGGCTGGAGGAGACATGGCCCTTCATGATGGGGATCTATACATCGAAGTAGGGCAGGATAGTCACCAGGAAGGACCTCAGGACACGCAAAACTGAAACCCCACAAAACAGATGCCCACAAAGCCAACAAGTGGCACCTTCGTTCCCACCCCTAAATTGGTTTTTTATGTAACCCGTGGCACACCTGGGAGACAGCCTTGTTAGGACAGAATTGCTTAAGGGCTTTGCCTTACTTAATTGGGATTGCTTACTCTCGAACCAGGTAGAGTGTGATCAGGTAGCTATAGTTAATGGTCTCTGAAAAGAGCTTTATGAAGCTGACGAAAGGATTTTTGAGAGTGAGTGTGGCTCTGCCCTTCGGTGTCAGCTCCTTTTTACCCAGGGACCACCATCGATCACCCTTTCTCACACTTGTGGTCAAGGGTCCTGTGCTCCAGGTGTGTGTCTGGGGTTGCTTTTGTTCCTGCACCACTGGTTATTGCTATGGACCCTTATATATAATTCTTAACTGACCCACTTGTTCGAAGCACAGGCTTTAAGGGAGTCTTTATGGATTGATTTCTATAGGAGACTTGGCTGCCCACCAGTGTGCTTGCCCTACCATCCGGGGCAATGCAGAGTGGCAGCTCTGCCCTTCCATCCTGAGCTCTCTGCCTGCTGCTGGCTGTGGTCTCTCTGTGGGACCCAAGGTTGCCTGACTCTGGTTATGGGAGGGGGTTTAATCTCATCTTGATGGGAAGATTGGCTTGCTGCTTGAAGTCTGAGCTGAAAATGTATCATTGAGCAGCACCAAAGTACCTTTCAACCCCTCTGGCAGCGAAGGGCATCCCTGTTTAATCCATGCCCTATGGCAGGAGGGCTACCTGTGTGATGTCGGCGGGGTGGAGTCAGCCCTGGGAAAGGGGTGGAGAAGGATTTGTCACATTTGGCTTACTATTTGCCTAAACAGACGATAGGAAATATTTCTTGTAATACTTTCAGAGTAAATTCCTCAAACCCGTGTGCTAATTTTCTACTTTCCCTGGAGGAAATGCCCAATTGCCTGAGCATTGTGTTCATTTTATGCTTAATGACTCAAGTTAGGGGAAAATCTTTTGACATGACCTGTTTTGAGGAAGATGGATTCTGTCCCTAGATTCAGAATTTGGCCACGAGAGAGTGAAAAACACCAAAGTAGCAGTGTAACCAGGAACTTGACAGAGGGGTTTTGCTACACTTTAAAGCCAAATTCAAGTTCGTGAGTTCATAAAGAAATCAGCTGTGGCCGGGCGCGGTGGCTCACGCCTGTAATCCCAGCACTCTGGGAGGCCGAGGCGGGCGGATTGTTTGAGCTCAGGAGTTCGAAACCAGCCTGAGCAAGAGCGAGACCCCGTCTCTACTAAAAGTAGAAAGAAATTAATCGGACAACTAAAAATAATAGAAAAAATTAGCCGGGCATGGTGGCACATGCCTGTAGTCCCAGCTACTCGGGAGGCTGAGGCAGGAGGATCGCTTGAGCCCAGGAGTTTGAGGTTGCTGTGAGCTAGGCTGACGCCACGGCACTCTAGCCTGGGCAACACAGCAAGACTCTGTCTAAAAAAAAAAAAAAAAGAAATCAGCTGTGAATTTATATGGCTATATATGGAATGGTAGTGTGTGCGTATATTTATAAAATATCCTAGATCAATAACCCAAATGTCCAGTAACAGTATTAAACAATTGTCTATTCATACAAGGAAATACTATACAGCCATGAAAAAACATGAGCCACAGCTACTTGCAACAACATGGATGAATTTCACAAAAAGAATGCTGAACAAAAGAATAGATTTGCGTTATACTATTCCATGAATATAAAATTCAAAACCAGTTTGAATATAAATTTCAAACTGAAATATTTTTTAGGGATGCATACTTGGCTGGCGGAATGATAAGGGAAAGTGAGGAAGTGATTTAGATAAAAATTAAAATTGGGGTTTCCGCTGGGGGTGGCAGGGGGTATGGTGACTGGGAGGGGACACAGGGAACCTGTGGGGTTCTAAAAATGTTTTGTTGACCTTGGTGGTAGTGACATGGGTGTTAGCTGTATACATTATTAAATTGTATGTTTTGTGAGGTTTTTTGCCTTCTTAAAAACTTTTTCCAATTTCTTGGCTTTTTGGAGTTGCAGGGGCCTTTATTTTTCTTTTCCCCTTCCTTTTCCGGTTGAGGGAGTAGGGGCTGAGGGGACATGACCTACAGCTTGTTGGGGACAGACTGCCATTGTTTGTTCTGGCTTCAAGCCTGGTGCTTAGACCAGTATACAGAACACTGCTTCTACTAGTGGAGGAAAAACAAAATCTCTTGTGGAGGAATCCCTTTGCTATTAATAAATTCCTAAGGAAATTGAAACCCCTGAGCCTGGAAAATTAATACTTTGTCTAACTAAGAGAACGTTGAATTAGATTCTCTGGTATTAGTATTAGTATTAGTATTTGGAAAACTCTAGCATCTACCCAAGATGTTCAGGGATCCAAAAGGGAGTTCTTAAAGACAATAGATGAGACAAAACCATTTCCTGTGTCAGCCCGTTTAATAACCTGGTTCCACCTGGATGTGCTCTCTGCTGTGGTGACGGCCACCACCAAACAGTGCCAGCCCTGCGTGTCTCATCTCACTTCATCTCCACCACAGCCTGTGGGGGAGGCGCCTGCTCGGCAGATGAGGACACCGTGGGGTACGGGGTGAAGCAGCTGCCAAGGCCCCGCAGCTCAGAAATGGTGGGGCTGAGCCTGAGAACCACGTCTGCTGGTGTCTAGAGTTCACGCTGTTCCCACCACACCAGACTGCCTTCCGAGGGCACCACGGGACACTTCACGCTCTTAAAACACCAAATTGCAGTCCTCCCAGGCTACAGCCAGGAAAGCATCTTCATGGGGGAGAGGCTATACCTCAGTTGCAGTTCATGTTCCCAAGAGTCCTGTGTCCTCTGTGGCTCTCTTTCCACTGATGACTGCTGCCTCACAGGCAGGGGAGAGTGGCCACTGCTCCTCCCTTAATGTTCCCGCCAAGGTAGACTCCTCATCTTCCCGTGGCACGGCTAAGACAAGCTGGGCTATTTAGATGAGGCTTGACCCAGGGCTTGGGGACAGCACAAGCATGAGATGCAGAGGGGACTGCTGCTTCTGGCTAACATCTGCCCCTTGGGGTCCCCACAGGACTGCCTTGCCTGACCTACTTCTGCGTGGCCAAGGCCATCTCCTCCACCCTCTGGAATATTCTCAGATTCCTCTGAACTCCTCCACGTCTGGACTCCTGGCTTCTGCCCCATATCCTCCATTGGAGTTTGAGACCTAGAATGAGGCCTGCGTCCCAACCCCCCATACCCCCTACCCACAGGGGTGTGGCCTTATGCTAGGGCCTCAACAAGGCAACCAACACCAGATCTGTAGCTGTTCAGACCAACATCAGCAAACATTTACTGAAGACCTAGCTCGGCAGCCTTGTGCTCAGCTCACAGATACTGCAGGAAACCAGACAGGTGTAGCTCCTGTCCCCAGAGAGCATGTGGGCTGTCTGCTTAGAGTCCCCTCGCACTGTCTCTTAGGGATTTCACACAGACTCTGCCCCTCTGCTGCCAGCAGACTCACCCCTGGGCAGGGTACAGCTCTTACCTGCTGTCCCAACATAGAATCTGGACCAGAACTTGTCTTGGGGTCATCTTGTGGCCCTTGGCTAGCTTGCTCGCAGCATAACCACTTAGCCAGGAGGTCACTGCAGGCCCAAAATGATGCTGGATACTGGATTGGCTGTATGGGACTCTCCACTCAGAATGAAGGGACAGGCAGGTCAGGAGGCTCTCTGATAGCGCAGTGGGTAGCCAAGAAGCCAGTGCCCTTCTTATGTCCCGGCTCCTCAGATCTGACTCCCTGGGCCTGCTTCGCTGCCCTTTGCTTCCCTGCAGACCACACTCAGCTTAGCTTGGGAGGCAAGGTTGGGGGGGCGTGGTCCACCCACTTCCCTATCAACATCAATAGGATCTGAGCTCTGGAAGACGCTGAGACTCTGGGGACAGTCTTCTTGCTGAGGGCAGTGGGATCTGTGCCTGGTATCACTGCCTAGCCAGCTGCTCCCCAGAGTGGGGGTGCAGTCCCCCAAGCTCTGGCAATGTGTGGGGAGCCAAGCTGGCTCTGGAGAGGGGCCTCAAAGCTTCAGCCAGAGAAAAGGCAAACCAAGCCACCCTGAGAATCTCCTCCTCCCCCAGTCACACCCTGCAGAGGCGTAATCTGTCCCCGGCTTCACACCAAGCCTGCTATTTTGTTTATGCCACAATTGATCTGCCATCCCAGTTTGCAAAGAGCAGACACTTGGGGGCTTTATTATGCCACTTTGACAAAAGCTGTGAAGCTCATTCCCACAGCCTGTCTGGTGCCGCCTTCGCAAATGGGGCCCTGGCGACAGGGCCTTTGGAGTTCAGCTCAAAGAGCAGGGAAGCGAGATGCAGAGGCCAGCACCGATCTGTACTGTGCACCCTGGGTGGCAGCCTCTGTTAGACCCTCGGCACCTCCCCCATCCAGTCCCCCAACTGCCCTGTGAGGGAGGCAGCGTAACACCCAGCTGCACAGGCACTCAAGTGGGCCCAGGGAGATGAAGGGACTCGCCCAGTTAGTCTGTAGGTGGCAGGGCTGACCCTGAAGCCCATGCGCTTTCCACTGTGCCAGACAGATGGGAAGTCTTGGCTCATTACCCTCTGGGACCTTTTCCTGCTGGGCTCTGTGCTGTCAACTCTGAGGGAGGGAAGTATAATTTGCTGTATTGTCCGATCTGGGATACTTTTGAG